TATCTTGTTAATAATATCTTGTTAATAATAATAATCTTGTTAATAATAATAATATTTTAATCATGTAATATTGATAATAATCTTGTTAATAATAATAATCTTGTTAATAATAATAATATTTTAATCATGTAATATTGATAATAATCTTGTTAATAATAATAATCTTGTTAATAATAATAATATTTTAATCATGGACTGAGCTCAGTTTCTCTGATTGAACAACCTCAGTTTTAGGAATGGTTTATTTCTGACAGGAAGAACGAGCTAACGGCTAGTCTGAGCTAAACTCAAAGTAACTCTGACATCTTAAACAGATCTGACTCAGAAAACGTTACAGCGGTTCATCTGAACGCTGTCCTGGAAATGCTACAGCTAGCTGCTAGGTGAGAAACTGAAGGTGATGTAAAGGTTTTATACCTGCTGTTATTTTCAGGACTTTAAGCTCAGATTTCCCTTAAAGCAGATTTATTCCTGCCTACTTTATTTAAACGGCTCAGTTTAGAGGTTATTAAGTAGCTCATTAATCATTATTACTTGTTTCTAGATAATTAATCAGCTTCAAACAGATTTTACTTTGTCAGTGAAACATTTACCAAACTAACAGTTTGAAAACATTTAAACACTAAGAGGTAGTTTAAATTTAAAACATTTTGTTTGCAGCCTTTAAACAAAAAAAAATGTTTTATAGTAAAGTGACTTTTATTTTGAAATGCGTAAAGTTTGTTTTTACAGTCCTACATTTAAAAAACATCAATTAAAACATTTCTTTCATGTGATGCAGAAACCTCAGAGCAAACATTGGTACATCCTGACTGTGTTGTTCTGGTTCTGATCCAACTGAAGGGGCGTCAGACAGAACATGACTCAGCCCCCCACCCCACCCCACCCCATCCTGCTGCACAATGATGGGACCGCTGCAGTCAGGGTGGAGAAAACAAACACGCCTCTGAGGGGAATTCTGCTGCTTTTCCAGAAACACTCCACCCAGACACTTCATTTTTATATCTGACGGTTCTGATTGTTTCAGGCCCACTTGGACCGGTTCTGACTGATCTCATCGTTTGTAAATTAAACACAGGAAGTTTGTTTCATGTAAAAACTTCTGCTTTTTGACTCTTGTTCAAAGTTTGAACTCTGGATGTTTAAATATAAATGAGAACAGATTAAATCTTTTACTGAAAACACTCAGAAAAGTTTAATTTTTAAAGTTACATAAGAGATGAGTTAAATAAGTTTTTATTCATGTTATTATTTAAACCCTAAATGTTCTTAAAGGAATGCATATCGATGGTTTGATCTGTGAGCTCTCAGAGTGCGTGTTGGGATCACTCCCAGCTACTACCACACCAAACTGCAGCTCAGTGTCTACAAATAAAATAACTAAAGTTGTTGGTTAGCTGTGGCGTCCATCTTTAATCACGTTGATTCCAGAAGCTTCATCCAGTGGTTACTTTCACTAAACTCCTTCCTGTGGTTCAGGAGATATTTTGCTAACAGGGACACAGGCACATTATCACCTGCCTGTTTTTACAGGAAGACATTTTTAAATTATAAAAAGGTTTGGAAAAAAATTAGTAAAAAAGACTGGATCAGGAGGTTTTTGCAGCAGAAATGTCACTTCCTCTTTCCCGGTCATTTTAGGATGTGGGTGGGGCTTAGCACATCCGTTATCCAATCAGTGTGTCTTCCTGCTTGTTAACGCCCTGCTCTTTGAAGAGGAGTCACTTCCTGTCCAGCTTCTCCTCCTCAGCTCCACAGGAAGTGAAGGAGTGACCGTTACACACACGTTTCCTGCTACAAGTCTTCCAGTTTAATGTATTTCCTCCACACAGAAACATCCAGGTGTTCACAGGTTTATCGTCCCGCTCCACAGGTAACCAGTGTTAGCTAACATTAAATCAGCACTGACTGCATTAAGCTAACATTAGGTGTGGTAGTAGCTGAGAGTCGTCCCCAACACACACTCTGATCGCTCCTTGTTTTAGTTGAAACCATTGAAGGAGGCAGGTGATGTGCAGTTCTGCACCGGTCCAAACAGGAAGTGGAAGAAATGAGCACAGCAAACAGTAATATAACAACAGAACAGCTGCATGCTAACATGCTAAAGTGTAGCATCCATGTTTCCTTCTGTAAACACGGCGTGCTGCCTCGTGGTCAGTCAGAGTCTGATGGTTTCATGAAGAACGTGTTGGTTCCGTGTTCTCAGGCGGGTCACCCTGACAGGCTGCAGTGTGGGCTGGAGGTGGGGGGTCAGCTCCTGGTGTTGGACCTGGAGAAGAACCAGTGAGTCCGCTTCACCGTCACTGAAAGTCTGAATGAGGATTAATAATCCAGTAACTCAGAACTCTGTTGTGTCTGCAGACACCTCATGCCCAGACCCCCCAACATCTTCTTCTACCTCCCCAACGGAACCGGGGTGTCCATGACGTCCGACCCTGTGGTGAGTCAGTGAACGCCCCGCGGCCCGGCGGCCCGGCTCTGTTGGGTTCTTCAGCTGTGAACAGATGTTTGTGTGTTTGTGTCGCCTGCAGACTCACTGTTATTATCACGGCATCGTCCGAGGGTTCCCCCAGTCCAGAGTGGTCCTGAGTACCTGCTCCGGACTGCGGTGAGTACCGACCTGACCTTTGACCTCACAGTGCAGACAGGCTGGTCTCTGTCAGCTTTACAGAACCACACAGGATTTAGACGTAAAGTTTACTTTTTTTTTTTCAGGTCAACTGTAAAAAAAAATCTAAAGTTTTTAGGAAAATTCAGCAGAAACCTGATGACAAAACATTTCTGTGATCATTCAGAGCAGCTGTCAGTAAATAAACAATAAACATAAACAAACAGGAACAGGAAGTAGTTCTGGTTTCTTCACATCGATTCTCTTTAGTTTCTGCTGACAAAGCAGTAAAACCATCAGAACTCTGGGTTCACCAGAGGAGTCTCTCTCCTCATTTTTTGATTTAATTTCTTGTGGTGTCCCACAGGGCTCTGTGCTTAGTGCAAAATTGTTTCTTTTGTACGTTAATGACTTGGTAAATGTGTCACAGTTGTTCAGGTGTGTCTTATTTGCAGATGACACTTTCTTTTGTTCAGGTAATGATCCAAATCACGTTTACAATGATGCAATTAGATTTTGTAAAAATAAAAAAATGGTTTATGTTAAATAAATTATCACTTAATTTAGATATATGATTATTAGTAAAAGGAAATTAAAGGTTGATGTTTCATTTAAATTGGTGGCATTGACATTTCTAGGGTTAGTGAAGTGAGGTTTTTGGGGGTTATTGATGAAAATCTGACATGGAGACGTCATATTAACTACTTAAGAACTAAAATTGCAAAATCAATTGCTGTATGGTATAAAGCCAAAGACATACTTAATAATAATGCATTACTTATATTATATAATGCTATAGTTGTGCCACATTTGACCTATTGTGTGTAAGTCTGGGGGAGTGCGTGTAAAACATTTACAAATTCGCTTTTTATTTTACAAAAACGTGCAGTGAGAATTGTAACAAGAAAACACAACTATCACCCTACAAATATTCTGTTTAAACAATTGGAACTGTTGAAATTCGGGGAATTGGTAGATTATAGGGTTCTGTTGATTATGTTATAAGGCTCATAAAATGTATTGTCACCTAATATACAATCCAACTTTGTTAAGAGGGATAGTGTTTATAATTTGAAGGGATTTGAAATGTTTGTGAAACCAAAACCTAAAAGTAATTTGAAGGAGAGATGCACCTGTGTTCAGGGAGTTAAACTGTGGAACAACTTGGACAATGACCTTAAGAATGCTGGAACACTTTACTCATTTGATAAAATGATTAAAAGTGTTTTCAGTCAGATATGATTGGTTGAAATAGATATTTTTGTTTTGATGTTGTTTTGTTGATTATTTTATAAGTTACACTGTGAATTAAGTTGAGTTTAAATTTCTGCATGTTGTAGGTTTTGTAGATATATTTTTAAATGGGGGCAGATGTTACTTTTCTTCTTTCTGCTCCTTTTCATTTGACCATGTTGTGTTGTGTGTTTTTTACACAATGTTATTGTGGTGGCACGATTTACCAAGAATGCAGAAACACGTTGGAATAAATGCACAGAAAGTCTGCGTGTATGGTCAAATGATTTAATCTGAGCAACAACAGAGCAGACGTCAATCAGAAGTCTGTAGAGTTGTGGCTGCTCGTCAGCGCAGAGCAGCCGATAATATAACATCATGTGACATGCTTACAACCAATCACAGTTCACCAACTGTGAACCATCTAACCAATGACAGGGCTGTCAGCCTGGAAACACCTTATCAAAATAAAAGAGGTCATGCATTGCTGGAGTCTTTAAGTCTGGGCTGATAGAGTAAAACAGCTGAAACTAGTTATCATGAGATATGATTACTGGACAGTGTCAAGGTAGATCAGATATACATAATTATTCCATAACAATTATTAATATTTGTATTGTTTTAATTGTTTGAATGAAATAAAATCCTAAAAATCCAGAAAAGCTGAAGGAATGAGGACAAACAGAGGTGGTCTCAGATCACCACAGCAGGTTCAGGTCTCTGTGTTCCTGTGCCGTTAGCGGTGAACGCAGTGAGCGACGACGTCGGCGTTCCTCTGATCCGATTAACGAGAGACGCCTCTGACCTGCAGGAGGATCAGTGGGTTTATCAGGTTTCTGAGGTTTTCAGGGCTCGAGGATCGACCTGCAGTGTTCTGAACCTCTGCACGCACAAAACTCTGTTAGAGATATGATTAAAACCTTTTCAGAGATTAATCAGTGAATAATCTGGATTATTTTAATTAACAGAAAACCTTTAGAAACAAACAGAATCCCTCAGAGAACAAACCAGAGCCGGAACTTAGAGTCCACAAAACCTTAAAGCTCAAAACACAAGCTAAAGGCTAAAAATAGCTAGCTTAACTTGAAGCTAAATGTAGCTAAAGGCTAGCTAAAAGTAGCTGAATACATTGAATCTTCGGTCAGAGTGATCTTCAGGTTTAATAAACATTTTTATATTATTTAAACGTGTTTCCTCCTGCAGCGGCATCATCGTCCTGAACGCCTCGCTGAGCTTCGAGCTGCAGCCCCCGTACGACCATCATCATCATCAGGAGGAGGAGGAGGAGGAGAACAGGCCAGGAGGTGGGAGCGGAGGAGGAGGAGGAGGAGCAGATGAAGAAGTTTGGCTGTTTTCCAGCAGTCATCTGGAGGGCGACGCCTCTAAAGGCTGCGGCGTGTCGCACACCTCCGACCCCCCCGCCTACAACTGGACGCACACACACCGGGTACGAACACACCGTCGAGTCTGATGAAGAGTTAGAGCTGCAAGTAGCCGAACAGCTGCTGAAACTGAAAACAGCAGCTATAAGCTAAAGTTAGCTAAAGTCCCAGCTGTGTCCTGAAAGTAGCCGAAGAAGTCCTTCCAGAAACCGTACGGTAGAAGCTGTAACAGATGAAGGTTTTTATTGCTGGTTTGACCCGGTTCTGTTTCTGCAGACAAAGAGAGACATCCTGTCTGAGACCAAATACATCGAGCTGGTTCTGGTGGCGGATCACCAGGAGGTCCGTGAGTTCCTGCAGTTTATCTTCTGCTGCTGCTCCTTTCAGCAGTTCATCAGCTAAAATATCTCTTCAAGTTAAAACAAGACATGTTGCTTCAGTACGGGATAAACTTTGTGCCAGCAGGAACTGACTTTGAATTCCTCAGAATGACTCTCAATGTGCAGAATTTTAAATTGAATTCATTGGTTTGAAAATAAATTTAAACTGAATTTAAAGTTTTGAATTAATTTACTTTGAAACTGTATTTTGGTTTATTAAAACTTCAGTTTGACTACTTTCACTTTCAGTTCCATAATTCAGATTTTTGTGTCACATCCTGGTCCTTGAGAAAGCCAGGCAGAGTAATCAAACACAGATCCACAGATTTACATCAGGGATCACATGTTGATCAGATGCTGCTGACTGATCCATGATGTCATCATGTAAATGTAACATTTTCTACATATAGGTCAAATTAATCACTGCAATAAAATAACTTTGTGTGTTTTTGTCACTTTTACAGTGGATTGCATCAACTCTGTTACATCCAGAAGGGAAACTTCACCAAAGTGAAACATAAATCTGTGGATCTGTGTTTGATTACTCAGCCTGGCTTTCTCAAGGACCAGGATGTGACACAAACATCTGAATTATGGAACTGAAAGTGAAAGTAGTCAAACTGAAGTTTTAATAAACCAAAATACAGTTTCAAAGACAATTAATTCAGATCATTAAATTCAGTTTTAATTTAGTGAAATTTATTTTCAAACCAATGAATTCAGTTTCAAATTCTGCATATTCAGATTAAATCTGAGTAATTCAGATTCACTTCCTGCTGGAACAAGATTTATTCTGTACTTCTGTAGATAAAAGTCTGGAGGCTGAAATAAACAGTTTATTTATTTAATCTGTAAAATCCAGTAAAGGAGCTGTAATCCAACCAGCTGCAAATCTGCTCCTCAGTTCCTGAACTACCAGAGGAACAATAAGACCATCATCTACCGCCTGCTGGACGTGGCCAACCAGGTGGACTGGGTGAGACCTCACACTTCCTGTCCCTGTCGATGCGCCCGCCATGGCAGTAGAACCGACCTGACCAGAACCGCCCCCACTTCCTGTTGCAGTTCTACCGGCCCCTGAACGTCCGCGTGGCGCTGACCGGTCTGGAGGTCTGGAGCGACCGCAACAAGATCCAGGTGGAGAAGAGTCCCACCGACACCCTCAACAACTTCCTGGAGTGGAGAACCAGAGACCTGCTGCCGCGCCTTCGCCACGACAACGCCCAGCTGATCATGTAAACACTCACCAAAATAAAAGCTCACCTTTTCACCTTTTCCTTTAAAGATTAGAGGCTTTCCTGTAATCTGAGGAGGTCCAGACCAGTCTGAACCAGCTGTTCTCCTTTCTTCAGTTAAATCCATGAAACAACATTATCTGATGGAGAGAACCGTTCTGGACCCAAGTCCTCTTCTTTAGTCCTGCTGGTTGTTTGTCCCTCAGGTGGTTCCTCTGCTGAGACACTGACTCATGTCAGGTTTACAGCTTAAAGAACAGAGAACCTGTTGACCCAGACCACTAAAGCTTTACTGGAAAGTCTGCTGGTTCTGATTGTTCTGGACTGGTTTTGACTTCACAGGGGGGAGTCCTTCGATGGAACCACGGTGGGCATGGCGTCCCAGTCCTCCATGTGCTCCAGAGACCGGTCGGGTGGTGTTAATGTGGTGAGTTCTGGTTAGTTGGTTCTGAGATGAGTTAAAGCTGGTGTGTTGATCAGAAACTCAGATTATTCAGATTTAAACTCAGAGATCTGACGTCTGAACGGCTGCAGGAATTAATTTAGAAACTTTGGAGCAAACTGTGTCAGAAAAAAGAAGAAAACCTGTTAACCAATCACAGACCATCAAATGCTAATGATGCTAATTTTTGTTAAAAGCTACACTTGTGCTAAATGTTTCTGTTTTTATCTCTTCTTCTGCTACTTTTATCAGTTAGCATTTAGCTACATTTAGCTTTCAGCTCGTTTTCAGATTCTTCGGCAGGTTTAATTTTAGTTGTGAGCACTTCCTGTTAGCTCTCAGTTTGGAGCGTGACATTCTTGGTGTTTTATAAACCCCGCCCCCCTCAGGACCACCTGGTCAGTGTTCTGGGCGTGGCCTCCACCGTGGCTCACGAGCTGGGTCACAACCTGGGGATGAGACACGACACCGCCGAGCGCCGCTGCTCCTGTGACAACGAGCCGCGCCTGGGAGGATGCATCATGGAGCCGTCCACCGGGTCGGTACCTGGGCCCGGTTTGAAACTCCAGAACCAGGTGAGAGTCTGACCTGTCTCCTGACCTCTGACCTCAGGTTCATGCCCGGCCAGCTGTTCAGCAGCTGCAGCGCCGCAGACCTGTCCGTCAGCCTGCTGCACGGTGGAGGTGTGTGTCTGTTCAACGTGCCGCAGCCCGAGCGTCTGATGGGAGGACCTCGCTGTGGTAACCTGTACGTGGAGAAAGGAGAGCAGTGTGACTGTGGCCTGCTGGAGGTAACTCACCTGTCTGTTCACCTGTCTGTACACCTGTACGTCTGCTCACCTGTACACCTGTCTGTCTGTTCACCTGTCTGTCTGCTCACCTGTACACCTGTCTGTCTATTCACCTGTACACCTGTTGCCTGTTCACCTGTCCTGTGGTTCTGCTGGTTTTTGCTAGTCTTGATCCTATTAGGAGCTAATTAGCCATTTTATTTTAGCCTTTATACAGTGGTTTGCAAAAGTATTCAAACCCCTTGAACTTTTCCATATTTTGTCACATTACAACCACAAACATAAATATATTTCACTGGAATTTAATGTGAAAGACCAACACAAAGTGGTATACAATNACAGATTTGTGGGAAAGAACACATTTGTTATATTTATTCAAAATACACTTGTTTATTATTAATTATCCAACTTCTGTAGCATTTTTAAAAGTAAATTAAAAACAGTAAAATCTTCAACTTCTCCCTGTTTGTACTTATCATTGTATTAACTCCTATAGATATGCAAAATATAATTTACGTAATTTGAAAAACACACCAAAGTGAAAATAATTTAATTTCCTGTTTTGTAAAGCCTGTTCCCTCTGTGTTCAGCATTAGCATTTAGTACATTGCTGTCATGATGAGTCATTTTTAGAACATGTCCTGCAGGGGACTCATGTGGTTCCCATGGACACCATGTTGGTGACCCCTGATGTAAATGATGATCAACTTAGATAAGCAATCATGAACACATGAGTTTTGAGTCTGACCTTAAAGAGAGGAAAAGATTCAGAGTGTCTGATTTCCTGGGGCAATGAGTTCCAGAGGGGATTCTGGTGATGATACAAGCTGCTGAATTCTGTATCAGTTGAGACATTTGGGAGTAAAACCAAAAAGAAGAGAAATACAATAGCCAGTATGGGAGGTAACAAGACTGTGGGAGAAAAACAGCAGTAGTGTGAGGGCGAAAGGAGGGGCAAAGACAATTAATGTTGTAAAGGTAGAAATTTGCAAACGTGGTGGTGTTACTGATAAGGGATAGAAATCAGAGTACTGAACTGTCCTGGTAACATCCTCTTAATCTGAGGGGAAAGAAAACAAAAAGATTGGCCTTTAAAATACAAGAACTGTCAGCTGATGTTGATAATGTCGATTTTGTTCCAATGAGGAGGAATTCAGGGTTTGAAGAGAAGCAGGATTTGAGTTCATGAAGGCAGATGATAAGGGTGGAGGGTTGGAGGATAGAAATGGGTTTTCTGGAAAGGTAGAGCTGAGTGTCATCGACATAACAGTGGACATGAATGTCAGATTTATGTAAAATTGCCAATACCAATTGAAGTGGTTGGCAACACTAATCCAAAAATTAGCACCACTACTTTAACAGTGCTTATGCCATAAAAAATTAGCAGAAGCTAATTTTAAAGCACAAGTTGACACTTACTAGCTGACAATAATTCATGTACAATATATGTACAACACTGCCAACTAGTGGTGTATGAACTCTTTTACAACTTAATCCTACAACCACTGATTGCTGGGGATGTGATTTCCTGAAACAGACCTTTAGCTCCTGGTGTAAAAATTAAAAAGTTGTTGAGGATTGCTAGTTTGGCTACTTCTTTGTCTTTTTCTTTTGTTTGTTGTAGAGTTTTCATTAAAGAAGCATCAATAAAGTAATTTTAAAACTGTTTATTGGAAAACTGAAGCGATGCATTCTGGGTACATGATGGATTTGATTTGTGACGGGAAACAAAAGCACGGAGTACAGGAAACTATCTTCACTTCAAAACAAGAGTTTAGATTTTAAAGTTTTCCATGTAGTTGCTCCAGTTGACCACTAGATGTCAGTCTTCACCAGCATAACATCTTTAAATCATTTCTGAGTCTCTAACACCGTTGGCAGATTGCGTCAACCATTTATGTCAAGTATTGAGCTCCACCTTTTAAACTCTTTTTTTATAAAAAGGAGCTCTGATTGTAAAGTAAAATAAATCAATACATACAAAATTTTAGTATGGATTACAAACGTTTACTGTTTTTGCTGTTGTCTTCCTGCTACATAAGCAGACACAAAGCATTGTGGGAAATCAGAAGCGTGACCCAAAGCAACAGTCAGCAGGATGTACAGTGGTTTGCAAAAGTATTCATACCCCTTGAACTTTTCCATATTTTGTCACATTACAACCACAAACATAAATATATTTCACTGGAATTTAATGTGAAAGACCAACACAAAGTGGTATACAATTGTGAAGTGGAAGCAAAATTTTACATGAATCAAAACATTTTTTACAAATAAAAAACTGAAAAGTGCGATGTGCAAAATTATTCAGCCCCCCTGAGTCAATACTTTGTGGAGCCACCTTTTGCTGCAATTACAGCTGCAAGTCTTTTAGGGTATGTCTCCACCAGCTTTGCACATCTAGTGACTGCAATTCTTGCCCATTCCTCCTTGCAAAACAGCTCAAGCTCAGTCAGATTGGATGGAGAGCGTTTGTGAACAGCAGTTTTGAGATCTTGCCACAAATTCTCAATTGGGTTTAGGTCTGGACTTCGACTGGGCCATTCTAACACATGAATATTCTTTTTTTTAAACCACTCCATTGTAGCTTTGGCTTTATGTTTAGGGTCGTTGTCCTGCTGGAAGGTGAACCTCCGCCCCAGTCTCAAATCTTTTGCTGACTCCAACAGGTTTTCTTCCAAGATTGCCCTGTATTTGGCTCCATCCATCTTCCCATCAACTTTGACCAACTTCCCGGTCCCTGCTGAAGAGAAGCACCCCCAGAGCATGATGCTGCCACCACCATATTTGACAGTGGGGATGGTGTTTTCAGAGTGATGTGCAGTGTTCTTTCTCCGCCACACATAGCGTTTTGCATTGTGGCCAAAAAGTTCAATTTTGGTCTCGTCTGACCAAAGCACCTTCTTCCACATGTTTGCTGTGTCCTCAACATGGCTTCTGGCAAACTGCAAACGGGACTTCTTATGGTTTTCTTTTAACAATGGCTTTCTCCTTGCCACTCTTCCATAAAGACCACATTTGTGTAGTGCACGACTAATTGTTGTCCTGTGGACAGTTTCCCCCACCTGAGCTGTGGCTCTCTGCATTTCATCCAGAGTCACCATGGGCCTCTTGGCTGCCTCTCTGATCAGTGATCTCCTTGTTCGGCCTGTAAGTTTAGGTGGACGGCCTTGTCTTGGCAGGTTTACTGTGGTGCCATACTCTTTCCATTTCCGGATGATGGATTGAACAGTGCTCCGTGAGATGTTCAAAGCTTGGGAAATCTTTTTATAACCTAAGCCTGCTTTAAACTTCTCCAAAACCATATTCCTAACCTGTCTGGTGTGTTCTTTGGACTTCATGATGCTGTTTGCTCCCCAATATTCTCTTAACCAACATCTGAGGCCGTCACGGAGCAGCTGTATTTGTACTGAGATTAGATTACACACAGGTGGACCCTTTTGAGTCATTAGCAGTCATCAGGCAACTTCTGAATGCAATTGGTTGCACTCAGGGAAAAGGGGGCTGAATACTTTTGCACGTCGCACTTTTCAGTTTTTTATTTGTAAAAAATGTTTTGATTCATGTAAAATTTTGCTTCCACTTCACAATTGTATACCACTTTGTGTTGGTCTTTCACATTAAATTCCAGTGAAATATATTTATGTTTGTGGTTGTAATGTGACAAAATATGGAAAAGTTCAAGGGGTATGAATACTTTTGCAAACCACTGTATACCTTCACAATAAGAGTGTTTATCTGGGAGGGGTGCTGTTGGAGATCACATGTGTTGTGATTCATTGACAGTCATACCTTCTGCTGTTCAACATAATGATGACTGGTAGATAATTAGTTATTAGTGGTACTGCTTTTTAATTTTAGAAAGTGCAAATCTGCTTATGATTTATAAAAATTAGTGAGACCGCTAAAGCACAAATGAAATATTTAGGTCTGTAATTAGCTGATTTGGGCTTTTGCGGACTGGTGCCCACCACTGTACAATAGGCAGGAAATAAATGATGAAGACAAGGGTCACCAGGACAGAGCCTTGGGGTACACCGGTGGTTTGAAGCTGAATGAACTGAGTGCAGCCAGAAAGGTAAGATTTAAACCTGTACAGTTGTTAGGGTGTGTGATATCAGTGCAGGTAAGTCCATGGAGAGATGGAGGTGAAGGCTGCACTCAGATCAAGAAGAAAGTAAACGGAAAGTCTTCTGCCTGAAGTTCATTAATGATTTTTATTAAGGCAGATTCTGTGCTGTTGTACAGGCAGAAACCAGACTGGAATGGTTCATAAAGATTATAATTAGTCAAATGAGAACAGAGTTGAGTAGCAGCAGCTTTTTGATAAATGTTTGGAACAAAAAGGAAAACATGAAATGGGTTAGATATTACTAAAGTTAGTTGGGTCAGCACCAGGTCTTTTTCATATTTGAGTGATGATAACTGTTTTGAAAACTGCAGCAACGAAACCCGTGGTGAGTGAAGAATGAATAATAGCGAGTGGGGGTGGGGCGGCAGGCTGTAGGGAGGGGAGCTAACTGACAGGTGGTTGACTTGGACTTGCAGATGAGATCAGATAGGTCTGAGGGAAGACGGAGCTGAAAAGCAAAGAAAAAAGATTGAGATGGAAAATGAGGGTAGGAGGAGGTATTAATAGCAGGTTTGAACTGAGCAGCAGGTGAATTTGATGAATTTGCCATTAAAAAGGACATTAAAAAGTCAGAAAGAAGCAGAGTACAGATGAGGTGGAGAAGCTGGAGACTGGAAAGTTTTGTTGAGAAATGCAAACAGTACTGTAACTTAGATTTGTCTTTATTTGGATGGATTCATTTAAAGAAATAAATGGTTTGAGCATGAGCGATACGGTCTGCAGAGTTTTGAAGATGATTTTTGTGCATCTCTTTGTGGATTGTGAGAAGTGTTTTTCTACAGACACTCAAGCTGCTGGTCTTTGCCTTTCATCAGTCAAAGCTCAGATTTTCAGAGGAGAGAGAACTGAGGACGGTGCAGAGACCATT